CGGGACTTTCATGACAATTAAACACAGAATTTAACCCACAAAATCTTATTGCTGTAATGCAAAAAACAAACAGAAATAATAATGCAATAACTGACACCTTAAATCAATGTTTCAAGAAACAACAACAAAAAAAATCGAACAAAAAACCAGATAAAGACAAAAAAGTAGCCATTGATAATATCTAAACAATATGTAGTAGTATAGTATATAGTATCCAAATCAAAATGTAATACAATTAATTTATGTGTGATTTATGTGTAAATTATGTGCAATGTCTTAGCCACTAGGGATTGTTACATAGGGCTATACGCAGTAAATGTATCTTGGTTCAGGGATGTTTAGATATTTGTGCTGAAAAACAAGACAAAAATACTGAGGAAGAAAATTATTTTTGCGGTCTGCAGTATGTAGATCAGCATAAATTATCAATAATAATATGAATTATTAAAATAATTTGTATTTAAAATAATGTATTAATTCTTAATATTATCAATTAATTATTTTAAACATATTTTCAAATTTATAGCATTAGTAATTTAAATATGAATTATTTTAATATTTAAAATAATACTAGCATTTTGTATAAATAAATAATGTGCAATTAAAATCCTTGTTTGTTTGTTTTTTGCATTACAGCAATAAGATTTTGTGGGTTAAATTCTGTGTTTAATTGTCATGAAAGTCCCGTCATAATGCAGTGATCCTAAACTAGGTTTTATTTAGTTTAGTGTGTTTTTGATCTTGAAATGTGGATGATTCAGCTGTGATCTTTTATAAAAGTGTGTTTCCCTCAGCTCCAGTGTGTCTGGCACTCATCTGGTGTTTGTTTGTTGGTGTGTGGCTGACAGCCTTCAGCACAAAGCATGAGTTCAGTTTATCTGAGCCCAAATCAAGTCAAAAGTGTGGGCGATTCTGGCAGAGAGACCCGAGAGTTCATCAAAGCCTTCGATCGAAATGGACTCTGTTTAAGCCTAAAAGACACTGAACACATACACTGAAAAAAATGATTCATTGAATTTACAACGTTTTTTTTTAAGATAAGTGGTTGCAATCAATTTATTTTAGCTTTGTTTTTATTTAAATAAACTAATTTAGTTGACTAACTTCCAACATTTTTTTTTATTAAATGTAGCTAAAATAAATTGTTTGCAACCACTTATCTTAAAAAAAATGTAGTATAATTTTTTTCAGTGTACAGCTGAATCATCCACATTTCAAGATCAAAAACACACTAAACTAAATAAAACCTAGTTTAGGATCACTGCATTATGACGGGACTTTCATGACAATTAAACACAGAATTTAACCCACAAAATCTTATTGCTGTAAGCCTAGGGCGTCAAATTGGCTAGAATCGGCCCTGCACACACACACACACACACACACTCTCTCTCTCTCTTTTACACACTCAGACACAGACACACACACTCTCTCTTTTACACCCTCAGATACACATACACACAAACACACTCTCTTTTACACACACACACACACACACTCTCTCTCTCTCTTTTACACACTAAGACACATTATTTATTTATACAAAATGCTAGTATTATTTTAAATATTAAAATAATTCATATTTAAATTACTAATGCTATAAATTTGAAAATATGTTTAAAATAATTAATTGATAATATTAAGAATTAATACATTATTTTAAATACAAATTATTTTAATAATTCATATTATTATTGATAATTTATGCTGATCTACATACTGCAGACCGCAAAAATAATTTTCTTCCTCAGTATTTTTGTCTTGTTTTTCAGCACAAATATCTAAACATCCCTGAACCAAGATACATTTACTGCAGAAACAAAATTACTCAAGTTGTTTGTGAAAAAATAACTTTTTCGTGCAGAATAAAAAAAAAAAAGATGACTGGAAAAGATTACTATAAATTAAATATATAAAAAAATAGTCTGTTGTGCAGCAGTTTATTTGACAAAAAATGCAATGTTCTGTTGTAAAGGAATTGTTACATTTTCATTTGATTACATTTTAAAAGTTTTATGTATTTATTTAATTCGACATGCTTTCAGGTGATTATCATTAAACCCATTAAAATGGAAACCAGAAAAAAGAAAAAGGATCAGAGCTGTGTTCTTCTGCACACCTGAAGCTAAATCATCGTCACGGACTGGTCTCTAGAAAACCCTTCAATCTAATAATGGAGGAGTTATATAACCTGCTCTTTCTGATTTGTGACGATGCTGGCATTAATCCGGCGTCTGGGTGAAGATGGAGTTCTGGAGCGTCACTCTCATCCCGAGCGTCTGCAGGTCTTTCTTCAAGGATTCAGCAGCGTCGCTGGGGAACGGGATTCTGTCTTTGAGATCTTGACAGATTTCTGCAGAGTGCTGGTAGAGAAGAGAAGAAGACTTGTGCAGATTCTGCTCACACATCACCGGCCAATCCACCTCAAACACCACACACACCAGGAACAGCGAATTATTACACATAATACATGCTTGAAATACATAAAACAACAACAAGCAATAGAGCGGAAATTTAAAAAATCACATCAAAAAAAAAAACTTTTTTTTTTTAATTAAATTAAAATATTTTAATTTTGCACAACATAAATTAAACATAATATTTTTAGGACCAGATGTGCATAGTAAGATTTTTTGCATGTTGACATTATTCTCACACATACAACTACAGTTGTGGCCAAAATATTACACAAACTTTGCAGGATCTGCAAAATGTTAATTATTTTACCAAAATCAGAGGGATCATACAAAATGCATGTTATTGTTTATTTAGTGCTGAGCTGAATAAGATATTTCACATGAAAGATGTTTACAAATAGTCCACAAGAAAAAAAAAAAAGTTAAATGTATAAAAATGACCCGTTCAAAAGTTTTCACCCCCTTGACTCTTAACACTGTGTTGTCTGAATGATCCACAGCTGTGTGTGTGTTTAGCGATAGTTGTTCATGAGTCCCTTGTTTGTTCTGAACAGTTCAACTCCTGCTGTTCTTCAGAAACCCTCCCCCAGCTCACACACATTCTGTGGTTTTCCAGCATGTGTGTGTTTGAACCCGTTCCAGCAGCGACTGTGATTCTGAGATGCATGTTTTCACACGGAGGACGACTGAGGGACTCAAACACAGCTATTACAGAAGCTTCAGACGCTCGCTGATGCTGCAGAAGAAGAAACCATGCATTAAGAGCCCAGGGTCAACGAAATAAAAAATAACATGCATTTTCTATGATCCCTCTTATTTTGGTCAAATAATTAACATTTTGCAGAAACTAAAATTAGCACAAATTACAGGCAGCAAATACTAATACTTAATATTGTATTACTTATTTTGCAATTACAGTAATAAGAAAGATTTTTTTTGGCCGGTTTAGAATTAAAAAAAAATGTAAAATCTGCTGAATTGTCATTATATCACGATGCAAAAGCTTTGCAGCTCATGAATTAATAACGCATAATCAGCAACAGCACGCCTGTCAGTATAATAAACCACCAGAGCTGATCTCATATCCAGCTACAGTTCATCTAACATCTACTCAACTCCATTCTAGTTTCATTAGTTAGAGTAATGTGTATTTCACGATATCTGGGCAACAACTCGACAGTTTTTCTTCAGCTGCTGGTTTTCTGACGCACTGAAATCCGGACGGAAGCAAACGTCATCAGACGTCATTTGAATATTCATTCTGATTGGTCAGTTTAGTAATGAGAAAAACCTGTCAGCATCAAACATCGGTGCAGTGATATATATATATATATATATATATATATATAAGGGGAATATATGAGAG